ATTACCCAATCCTGATAAGGTTCAGGCCATAAAGGATATGAAACGTCCTAGATCTGTACGTGAAGTTCGTCGTTTCCTGGGGGCATGTGGGTTCTTTCGGCGACATGTTCAGGGTTTTGCCAATGTTGCTCGTCCATTGACGCAGCTTACAAAGAAAGGAGTGTCATTTAAATGGTCACCAGAAGCAGAAAAAGCCTTTCAAGACCTTAAAGCCGCCCTGGTGTCAGCACCAGTTTTGCGCCTGCCTGATTTTGAGCGACATTTCGAAATTCATACAGATGCATCAGCACAAGCTCTCGGTGCAGTTTTACTTCAGCGCAGTGATAATGGGGAACCGCAGGCAGTTTCATATTGGTCGAGGACATTGAAAGATGCAGAGTCTCCTTACCCTGCCATAGACCTTGAGGCTCTCGCTGTAGTGGAAGCTGTTCGAGTGTTCGACCCTTATGTGTATGGGAGGCCATTTACCATATACACTGACCATCGCCCTCTCACCTATGTGTTCTCCCGCAAAACAAAATCGCCACGTATGAGCAGGTTTGCCCATGAACTGAGTTTTTATGATTTCAAGCTCGTATATAAACCTGGCCCCGCAAATTATGTCCCTGACCTGTTGTCGAGGCCTTTCACAGACTCTTTGCCATGTTCACCAGATGAGGCACTTGCTGTTGATGAGGATCATGTCAGAATAAACCCAGACACTCCTGTCAATCTTGCCAACCTCGCCTCTGCAGTATTACGTGAGCATCAGTTGAAAGAGGACCTCTGGAAGGAGATCATAGAATTCTTAGAGGGCAAGAAACTACCTCGAAGGGCTTTGCCAGCATCCCTTCAAGAATTCGAACTTGATGACGGCGTTTTGTATCACCTGAAATCCTTGCCAGACCGTACTATTAGGCAGGTTTGCGTTCCTCATTCGCTGCAGTCACAAGCCTTACATCTTGCTCATGACCATCCTACTGCAGCTCACCCTGGTGCTCTACGCACATACCACAATTTGCAAAATACCTACTTCTTTCCAAACATGTTCCGGCTATGCAAATGGTATGTGCAGCACTGTACAGTTTGCCAGCACAGGAAAGGTTCACGTGAGCGTGCCCAGATGCAGTGTCGGCCTCCACCTGATGGCCCATTGGAGCTTGTGTCCGCAGATCTCATGGATCTCCGAGCCTCTGTGGGTGGCTATCGTTATGTTCTGTCAATAGTGGACCATCACTCCAGATTCTTACAACTTGTGCCACTCAGGAATAAAACCTCAGAAACGGTTCTTCGTGGATTTTATGATCATTTTATCACTCTTTTTGGACCACCTCGACAGATATTGACAGACAATGGGGGCGAGTTTGCTAATGAGCAGTGGCAGGAAGTGTGTAGACAGCTAGAGATACGATGTTCATTTACCATAGCTTATCATCCTAGTTCAAATGGTTTAGTTGAACGGACAAACAGGGTTGTGAAGGATGCTCTAGCTATGCTTGTGGCTGATAAACCGGGGAGGTGGCCTCTATATCTGACCTCTGTAAGGCTAGCCATAAATTCAGCCATACATCGCTCGGTGGGCGACCAACCCCTTTACCTCCTTACTGGGAAGATGGCCTTATTTCCCAGGGGACTAACCAACCAAGTAACAACTGATCCTACTCTTAGGGTACAACAGCTAGCTAAGGCCAGGCAGCTTGCTATTGCTGCCTCTCTCCGTTCCCGAGAGGCTAATGTACGGGCACATAATCGGAAAGTTCGCTCAACCTGGGAGCCGGAGGAAGGTGCGCTCGTCCTCCGTAGAGACTTTACAGCAGGGGTGTTACATGACAGGTGGCAAGGGCCTTCGAGAGTGATAAAGCAAATAGGTCCGGTAGTGTTCGAAGTTAAAGATCTTCAACCCCCTTATCGTGTAGTAAAGCAGCATAGAGATCAACTGAAAATGTATCTTCCTCCTGCAGAATTAGATTATGTTGATGTGGGAGATAGACTGCCTTCTGAACTTCCAGGGGTTGACGATCCTTTGCCAGGCAGGCCCCCGGACGTAGCAGCTCCTATATATGTGCCAGATCCCGGGTATGACCAGACGGAAAATGAACATGGTAATTCGGAACCGCTGAACAGGTTTCCCCGTGATAACGAAATCCTTTACTCTGAAGAAACTAGTACAGAGTCAGATAGTGAGTATGGTGACTATGAGGTTTGGGACGAGTGAATGAGATGGCGTGACTGAATATGTACTGTAATGTGCTTGTTTAGTCGCTCGTTGTCGAGTCGGTAGGTGTTCTTATTTTTATTTGTTCTATTTTACATGTTTTAGTAATTTTAAGGATTTGCTTTTGCATTGATGTTTGTTTTACATTTTCATATTCTTAACTTTACATTTTATTGTCTTGATGTTTCGTTTTACAGTTTTCTATTAACTTTTACATTTTATTGTATTGATGTTTCGTTTTACAGTTTTCTATTCTTAAATCAAGTTTTAGATTAAGTTTGTAATACTTGTGAACCACCTTGCCCAGTCAAAAGTTCAAATGCATCAGTTGGGGACTCCTAGTAATCTACATATATGCCATGTTGACCTTATGTTCTCTTTCCAGTTATGCTGTTCATGTTGTATGTATTTATGCCGATTATGAGCCCCCAGGCAACCCCTCAGCCTTAGCGTGAGAAGAGAAGGCGACCCCTCGGCTCTGGTGTGAGATGCGAAGGCCTGATGTGTATGGGGAGGTCGTAGGTCCGCTGAAATATCGGACCATACGACCCAGGGCCCGGGAGGGTTGTAGTGGGACGATTCGCCCACTCCTTGTCCTACCACGGTACCCCCCCCCTTTGGTACGAGGAGTCCAAGAAGAGTTTCGCTGTCATTTTATGTATTTGAATTTTATTCTACGAGGTGGAAATGCGGGGTGCCGCCCGTAAATATTGTACGCGCACGTACGTAGGCTTGGCTACGTACACGCAACTACGTTCACCATTCACCTGCCCAGTAATTTGTGTGAGGACACTATCTCACCAGGAGGATAGTGTCACGTAAATCTAGGTGTGTTGGTGATGGCGTCTGCTAGTGACGTCATGCCAGTGGTCTGTCGCCATTAGTGACGTCATAAACCGTGACAAGGCAGCCACTCACGGGTATCCATGTCGTCGAGCATTTTAGCCAATACCCTGGCTAGGGAGCGTAGATACCCCCCAGGTACTTTGAGAGTACCGGCAGATCTGTTCTCGCCTCCTTACTGCTCGGAACCCGCTGCGATTTTTAACAAAGGTCAAGGGTTAGTATTATGTATTTTGCCGGGAATTCACCACTGTAATGTTTGAATCTTTAGCGACTGGTGCAAGGGTGGTGAACATGTAGCTAGGCTCTACGACTAAAATAAACAGGCAAGCAGCGCTTTGGTATTCCTCATTTACCTTGGCTAATTAGTGATGAAAAGTTCAGTATAAAGTACTGTGGATATGAAGTACTCCTGCATTACTGATAATTAGCTATGTGTGAATACAGATAAATTATAGTGCAAATCTAGTTGATTTATACACCAGTATTAACAACTTGTTTTTTTTTCTCGTATGCGAGTGCCGTGACCTGGACTCCCCCGCTCACCCCGCTTTGGCCGCTACCACATACATGCCCGGTGTACGATGCGTGGGTGGCCAGGTGGTGCTCGCATCAGGTAAATCATGCAATAAGGGAGGTGCAGATCAGGTCTCCAAGGGACAGTGACCTGGAATTGTCCCGTGACCAGGTTTATGTAGCAGTACTGCGTTACTGTTACCTTACAAAAGCAGTATAACCGTGGAATGCACTCACATCCACCGGTGCCGCCGAAGTGACCACGCAGCGGCACACCCATGGCGGTCGACTACACCTCTGAATCTCGAATGCACTGGTGGCGACACTGGTGCACTGGTGTACTGAACCTTATCATGCGTTAATACTATTTTTATTTCTGTGTTAATCTAATCAA